CGGGAATCTGCGTTTTCTCCCTGTCTTTGCCTCCAAGTTGTGTGTGATACAGCTCAGGGCTTGATTTTGTTGATCACAGGCCCCAGGCACTTTCACTCTGAACTGTGCAAAAAGAAGGATAAACGCCAGTTAAATTACGTCGATTGACATGACGCACTTTAAACTATTCTAATGCTAAACCACGTGATTAATGGAGGGACTCGAGTGACCATCACTTCAATACTTCTAGTTTCTAGAACAGCCGCTAGATAGCGGATTATTATTGATTTGGAGCACCTAGAGTAGATGGCAAGCTTGTTTCAACTCGTTTTTCGTTAGTCATTAGTGTTTCCCTCCTTCAAAGGCCCTAAAATTATCGAAGGCCATAGGCACTGTGCCTACAGCGCCTAATGGGAAATCCGGCACTTATATAAATATTTCCTATATTTAGTTTGCAGCTGTCCTGAAGGAAAGGGAGAGTTTTTCCGCATTACTCTCTCCTTTTTGTACAATATGGACTGTTCCGCTCCAATCATAATGGTACAAAGGATTCCACTCATGAAAAAACAGGATAGTGACTTTTTTTTAGTTCTGTTGCAGGGTACAAGAAGAATTTCAAAAACAGTACACAAAAAAAAATACACAACAATTACAAAAAGTAAAAATCAAATAAAAGGAATTTTTATCAAATGCTAAAAATCAATTTTATCAGTTATAACTAGCTAAATCACATTTAGCAAGTGGTCTTTGTGCATGTCACACATGAATGAAACAGCAGCATATCTGTTGCTTCTACATAAGAAGGTTGTGTATTTTTAATTACATTTAATTGCATTATCTATTGCATATATCTGCATGTATTTCTCAAACAGACCCAATCCAACTGGTGATTTTATACTGGGGTCATCCTAATGTTCATTTAATGATATGGTCTTGGACAGTGACTAACATTTTTACCCTTAATGAAGTTCACCATCAGTAAAAGAGTACCAAACTTTTAAGGAGATTTGTGACTCATGGGTATTAAAAAGTAAGGTCAGGGAAAAGTTGGCACTGCACATGTGTGAAGCATATGTTTCTTCCCCTCTGTTGACAAATGTGGTTGGTATGTTTGTAGAAAAGTGTATGTGTACAGACGTGAGTTTATTTATGATCCACATGTTAATGTGTGCATAGAATTGTATGCACAGAATTCTGTGCTTCTTCAAAATTTTGGGTTTTAGCAGTCACGCGAAGAGCTGGAAAGAAGATTCTCTGTGAGGATCCTCATAAAATACGATAGTAAAAAAAAAATAACACTTGAAAGAATTTGTCCAATTACAGCAGATCCCAACATTTTACATGGGAAAAAAGGTGAAAGAAATTAACTTTCTCCTTTCACATTAGAGCCTTTCAAGCAGATGCTGGCTCTGCTGTAGAACATGCCCAGTGTGTGTTGGGATTTGCGGTCCAGGTGCTGTTCACATTGGAATTGCTAGTTTAAAATGGGCCCTTGTGTTTGTCAGCTTGTCCAAATCGTTTGGAGTGGTGACCTTCACACCAGTCTGAGGCCGAGGTCTGGGAGCAACGAATGGAACTAATATTGCCTGATCGGAGTCAACAGCTCCCTGGAAACATAATCTCACCCCTCTAGCAACAAATCTTCCAGCCGAGATTACGTCACTGCTCC